AGTGCCTTTTGTCACAGTAATTACCTTGGTTGGTTCTGGCAGCTTTCCTGGTTCTGGTGATTCTTCACCTGACATTTACTTCCTTGGCTGGACCTCACTCCACGAAGATGAGTGCTGGGTCAGCTTCTGCCTGTCGATGGCTGTCCCTTGCATCCGTGCTCACTAAGCTTGGTTGGGGGAAATGAATGAATGAGTGAAGTCAGATGGAGGGATCCTGACATTTGCAAGTTGTCACAGGTATTACTGATCTGTTCATTTATTCTACAACTATTTCCTGTCGAGGAGGCAGAGATGAATGACCTGCAGTCTCTGTCCTGAAGGTAGCTAATAGCACAGTGTGGGAGTGTAGGGCCCAGGGGAGTTGGCTCCTAGGATAAAGGAGATTGTGGTCACAGCTCTAAAACGGGAGATGGAGAAGCAGCTGGGGCATGAAGGGAGGCATCCTGGAGGAGGAGGCACGTGTGCTTGCTGGCCGTGTCTGTCCTGGAACACAGGGCCCAGGTTCGTGAGGAAAGGCTGACTTCCCATACGGGCACGTTGGATCCCCTGAGGCTGACAGGCTGGTTCTAGCACGTCATCTTCAAACACCCATAAGCACAGACTCCCATCTTGGCCGGACCCTGGTCTCTACCAGCAGGTGAGACTGGGGAGCAGGTTTTGGAAAGTATGGCCTGATCTAAATGAACAAGTGATTCCGGCCCTGGGACTGAGAACTGTGGAGGGCCAGTATTTCTTCAGCCTCCAACCCCGACACGGTTTCCCACGACTCCACGGCAAGGCAGAGAGCCTCTCTGTGGCTCTGTGGAGCTCTGGCTGTACCCCCACCAACCTCTCCTGATACTCCTGGGGTCTCCTCCCTCACTCCCTTGGTTCCTTCTTTCTCCTTTTTAATCTCAGAGCTTTTGTATGACAGTTTCCTCTGTCTGGCCTGCCCCTAACACTACTCCTCACCCTCCACTCTCAGTTCAGGCATGGCTTCTTCCTGGAAGGCCTCTCTGATTTCTCCCCAGCTGCAGTCACACCCACCCCTGTTACACATGATCCCATATCTGTATAGCTATGTACTCCTTTTCTGCTTACCACCAAGCACGGTTTGTAATGTGGTCATTTGTCTGGTTACTTGTCTAAAGTGGGCTGCCCTCTCTAGTGCATAAGAAAGGGCTGGTCTTGGTTATCACTGTATGTGAGAAGACTTTTTTTTGAGAGGTTTTTGCCACAGGGTCGCGTGCGTTCGCCAGAGAGACAGAAAGCGAGAAATCACCCCCCAGGGGGGATGGTCACGCAATCCCTTCTCCTCCATTCTCCTCTCAGGATCTTAGGCACACACGCACATGTGCCTGGCGTGAGTTTTAAGCCACCGGGTCCGGGACACGAACCGCGGTCGACTACTTGGGAGTCCAGCAACATAGCCATTATGCTAACTGCTGGTCCCAAAAGGCCATTTTCATTTTGTTTTTAAAATCTATTTATTTTCCAAATATTACTTGGTACAGAGCACATATTAGACCCATATTTGATAAACGAATGAATAAATGTTGGGAGGGGCTGGGTCACCATGCAGCCTTCATGCCCTTATGACCTCAGCTGATGGGTGCGTGAGTGACTGTGAGGATGCCAGAGCAGGACGCGGGCCTTCCCAGAAGGCTGCCAAGGCTAGTGCAGGGCTCAGCCAGCCTGCCCGTGCCTGCAGCGCATGTGGTGCCCTCTAGGGGAAGGAGGCAGGAGTGGAGGGTCTGCAAGGACCCCAGTCACGTGCCCTGGGCCTTCGCTCATGTCAGGTTCTCTGTGACCAGACCATGGAGCCATCCTCTCTGAGCTTCCTAAGGGAGACAAAGCCCTGCTCTTCCAGGGCTCTGAACTGTGGGAAGAGCCCAGTCTGGGAATCCCAAGGGAGGGGATTGAGGAGGACACTTTGGAAAGAAGGCCTGGACTTCTGATGGAGCAGCTGGACAGGAGGGAGGGGTTGAGGACTGCCCAGCTAGGGCTGAGCGAGGCCTCGGAACTGGCCGACAGGAAAGATCCCTCTAGGAGTTTGGGCCTGGCTGTGTGATGGGAACCAGGGAGCGTAACGGAAGTGGTGGACAGGGAGAAGTCTCTCAGCAGTGAATGCAATCTCTGTGACAGGAGCACTGAGCACAAGGGCCAAGGTCAAGCTTTGGCAAGAGTGACCAGGACCAGGACGATCGGACACAGCTATAGCTGAGTAGAAGTGAGCGCAGTTGCTATGTGTGTGTACACATGTGTATGTGTGAGTGCATATGTGCACACACATGTGCATGTAGGTGTGTAGAACCTTGAGAATAGGGCCCCTTGGTGGATGCTGACTAATGGGAGACTATATTGGGCAGGTGGACAGGGTCGTGAGCTCCCACATTTTGCTTATTTTTGTGACCCTGTGGGATGGTCTGTGGCAGAAGAGGGGTCTCTGAGGACCATGCTCTGTGGACAGGAGCAGGCACTTGTATGTGAAAGACCAGTGTCACAGGCTACAGAGGGGGCACCCAGGTTTTAGACTGTAGGATGTTGGTCAGAGATCAACTTCTGCGCTGGCCCACACTTGGGGGTTCTGGCCACTCAGGCTGTAGCCCGGTCTAGGTGTCCTCTCTGATCCAAGTTGATGTGGGATCCATTTTCTCAGGAGGCTCACCAGCTGCCTCTGAAGACCCTTTCCATAGAAGATACTGGATCCTGTGAGCCTGTCAACCCCCAAGAGGGCTCTGAAAGGCCAACACTTGTGTGAATACACAAGCCAGTGTCTCTGTTCCAGTGTCAGAGCCTGCATTGCAATTGTCCCCAAATGGACAGTTGAGGAAGCATTGACTTCTGGCTGCATCTCAGGGAACAATAGTCCATGGCTTCATGCTCCTTGGCTTGGCCTCGCACCTCCATGGGTGAGGTTTTGACAGGATCAGTGAAGTCTAGGGCAGCAGTGTGCTGGTGGGGGTGGGAGGTGGGGTGGGGCCAGACAGGCCCGGGTTAAGGGCATCTGTTGGCATGAGGGCTGACCTGTGCTGGTTCTCCCTGGGCTGCTCAAGGCCAATGCTCCTTCTCAGGGCCTGGGTCTCAGCACTGCCTCTGGTCAGCCCTTTGTCCACAACATGGTCCCCGAGAGCCTGGGGGAGCGGCGTACCCGCCTGAGGCCATTTTCTCACTGGAAACTTGCCCATCATGCTTGCTTTCATTTTAAACAGTTCACGCTTAAGACTCACAAAGATATTTCATTTTGTTTGCTTTCTTGTGGGTGATTCATAATATTTTCTTTGAAATGTAAGCGTCATCACTAGCGACTGTTACAGTGTGAATAGCTAACACTATAGAACACACAGAGAATTTAATCTTGTAGATGTATATATTTTGAGTTTTTGCCATTGGGCCTATGGGCTCACCAGG